GAATTCCAGAAACTTAATTGTGCTCATGTAAAACTTAAGACCAAGAAGCTGCTGTGAAAACAGAGCAAAGAAATACTACATGGTTTAGAATTAAAAAAAGGTGTGCATCAGGGTTGCAATTTCATCATACTTATTTAATCTCTATGCTGAGCAAATTATTTAAGAAGCTGGACTCTGGCATCAAGATTGGAGGAAGATTCATCAATAACCTGTGTTATGGAGATGATGCAGGCTTGCCTGCTAAAAGTGAGGAAGACTTTCAACATTTGCAGCAAAAGATCAGCCTCCGAAGCCTTCAATATGGATTGCACCTCAATGTCAAGAAAACAAAAATTTTCACCACTGGACCAACAAACAGGCCACATCATAATGGAGAAAACATCAACACTGTCAAAGACTTTATCTTACTTGGAACCACAATCAACACATGTGACACCAGCACACCAGCAGTCAGGAGATCAGGAGGTGTATTGCACTAGAAAGTCTGCAGTCAGGGACCCCTGCCTCCCCCGCCAAATTACTGAAAAGCAATGATATTAGTCTGAGAACTAAGATATTCATGATTCAGATCATGGTTTTTTCAATCACTTGCTATGCATGTGAGAGCTGGACATGAGTAAGAATTCCAGAGAAGAAGGGATGCCTTTGAACTGTGGTGCTGCAGAAGAGTACTGAATATCCCATGGACTGTGAAAAGAATAAACAGATATGTCTTGGAGAAGGTGTAGGCAGAATACTTCTTGGAGGCAAACATGATGAAGCTTCATCTCACATACTTTGGGCATGTTGCTAAGAGAGGTTATTCCTTGGAAATGGACATCATGCTTAGAAAGTGAAAGAGAAGAGCAGTGGGAGAGGCAGTGAAAGAGAAGAAGACCTTCAACTAGTTTGGTTGACATGGTGACTGAGGCAATGGGAGTGAGTATCTCAGAGATTATGAGTATGGTATGGGATAGGACAGCGTTTACATCAGTGGTTCATAGGGTCACTATGAGTTGTACTCAACACAATAGCACCTAACAATAACAACTACTACTAAATAAAAAATTTCAAAGCAAGCCAATTATGCTTTTATAAAAAGAAAAGTGACTCTATTGTATCACATTTAAGGAGTATGTACAAATCCACAGCTTTCTGAAGCCATGGGGGAAAGAAAATCAGATAATCATCAAAACAGCATCATAATTTGAATAAAAATTTTATTTAAACACACTCAGCTGAGACAAAATCAAAAGAAGTGTAAAGTTATGAGTTACTGCCACAAGATTATTTAATGTGAGGCTTAATAACCCACATAAAGTATTTGCCTTTCCTATTCTGGGAGATAAAAATTGGCTTTTAGACAAATCACTTACCAATAAATGGTTCTCCTTCACACACAAACAAAACATCATCATCCCTGGAGAAAGAAAAATTTAAAAAGCCACCATAAAAATTCAGAAATCACGTTAATTATCTGCTAACTACAGTCAACCACTGTGAATTACTTAGAAGGATAGGTTTTGCCTTTACTTTATATTTGAAAGTTTACTAACTTTTCAGTGATTTTTTTTCTGACCTAACTATTTTTGGATTTAAATTCAAAATTAAGATCATACACGTGTACTTTGGAACAAACTGTATTTTTTGAAAATAAAATCTGTGGCCTAGTGGCAAGCAATAGCGTTGCAATCCCAAAGGCACATGGTTTGAATCCACCACCTGCTCTGTGGGAGAAGGACGGGCAATCTCCTCCCTAGCGATTAACTGCCTCTGAAAATCCGCTTGAGAGTTATGAGTTGGTTCTAACTCTATGGTACTCAACAACACCACACAACATTATGCTCAAAGAATATGGTTAAAGCAATAATGAGTGCTTGGTTTTTTGCTTTAATTTTTAACTCTAAAATGAATTATAGTAGTTCTTTATAAAATGATTGAAGAGCTCTTCCAACACTATGATAATGCAAAATTTCCTCTTAAATTTAAAAATTTAATGCAAATTTTCATGTTAAATCTAGGAATAACGGGAAAAGTAACTGATACAAACAATCCCCAGTTTTACACTTGCCATACATCTACATGCTCAAATATTAATGAGTTGCTACAATCCATAATTTTGAATTATTAGTGCTCATCCTGACATTAGCAGAAATAAGGGAACTATAAACCAATAAACAGGCACATTTTTTATAATGTAGAAGCCTTTAGTTGTATCATTTCTAGTGTAGAAATTTTCATTTCTTATTCGATATCACAGAAACACACTGAGTTTTCCTTAGAAGGATAGTCTGGGTTTGTTAAGGAGGAATTAGGTTAATGTAGATCATCCAACAATATGACTCAAATATGCATAGAAATGCAAAGAAGCCGGGAGAAGAATATTCAAAAATTACAATATTCTGCTAATTTATTTGGATTTGAAATATATAAATGTCCAAAATATTTCTTCACCATGTAAGTTAACTTTTTTTGCTTAGTTGAAAAAAAAAGAATGTTTTTTTTTTTTCCCACTTCAAAAACAAAAATCAAGAACCAAACCATGACCTTGCATATGTCAAGTAAGTGCTTGGTTTTCTCTTTTGAAAACATAAGGAACTGGAACTGTTTAATTTCTATGGCAGTATTATAAAGAAATGACATTCGGACTTGGTTCTAGCAGAGATTAAATTTTGTAATTATAATAATTTAAAGTAATAGTATCTTCAAACAACCAATAAAAGAACACCTTTGCTTACTAAATGCTACTAAACCTTGAACAAAGCAATCACAACATATGTGGTACATAAACAGTACTTAATTTGAGATTCTTTTCCTCAAATGCTATGAACCTCTGAGGATGGAGTGAAGGGAACTAGATATTCGTTTTAATGGAATAAATCATCCTAGAATATTAAAAATACTACTTGTAGTATTTCACAAGTGTAACTCTCTTGAATGTGAAATTAAAAGTATTAAAAATAAATTTAATGGTAATTAAATGGCATATAAAGAAACAATTAGATTTTTAAGTTAATACACAGAGAAATTCCTTACAGACTCTTCAGAGTTCATAAATTACAGTATGTACGTTTTGACCTTTTAAGAAATCTACGTACTTAATACCAACAGCATATATCCAAAATGATTATTTTCAAAGTTAGGGAACAAAACCCACCCAGTATTTTTTTAGGCAAGAATGCAGACACAGCATCAGTAGAATTATACTTTATCTCTAGGTCTCTGTGCCAGGCATTGTATCTCGCACAGAAGGTGCTTAATTCAAGTGTTGCTTGTAGGCTGAATGAATGTTGTTATTAGATGCCGCTGAAATCGAGTACAAACCATACCAACCCTATAAACAAGATAACTGAACCATGTCCTAACCTGTGCCATCTTCATACTTCCTGCCACAGTAGAGCCTACTGCGCGGTCACAATGTCAATCCCTCAGGCCTGATGTGAAGACTGATTTGCTATTAAAGCTACAAACCAAACTGTCAGTTTGTTGTGTTTGGGAGAAACTTCCTAATTGGTACAGCACTTGTCTGTCAGTTCACTGTGCTGGATAATCTATGGACTGCTGTGCACTGGTGTGTCAAATGTCACAAGGGTTACCCATGGTGGAGGTTTTAGTAGAGCTCCTAGATTAAGACTGACTTGGAAGCAGGACTGGCCATCCACTTCTTAGGTAACAGGCCTCTGAAAATCGTATGAACAGTATAGGTTGAATAAATACAGTACATATGGTCTATCTCTGATCTATACAGTTCATTATTGAGATGGTTTTCTGTCTAATCAGTACACATTAGTACAAATGATTTAAATTTCATAGAACAAATTCTAGGCAATCACTTGCTAAAATCTGTATTCTTAACCATTATCAATCACTTCAGGGAAACAGCATGGCATCAAGAAATTAAGGGTTTACTGTGAATTGACATAACAAGCTGAAAGTTACCTGATCAAAGCAATATCGTCAATCAATCCACCTTTTCCATTATACACACTGGTGGCTTTTATGCCGAGTTTACTGCTGGCCACAGAAAGCAAATCAGATAAAGTTCCATATACAGCAACCACCTGAAAACACAGATTGATTGAATCACAATATACAAGGTATTCAGTCACCCACAATTTACTATTGTAAATAGTAAATTTAGATTAGTAAATAGTAAATTTAGATTGCAGGAGTGCAAATTTAGATTATCATAGAAAAGGACATTTCAAGAAGTTCTTAGTTTCTTTTTCTAACTATTTAGTACATAGAAATTCAAAACAAGAGAATAAGACATTATTTCTGACCAAAATCAATAATCTTAATATATGTTTAACAGTACTTTACCTCTAAAGGTAATATATAATAAGAGAATGATCAGACATGACAATTAACGATATTAATAAATTATAATTAATGTGATAAAACAAAATATATATGAATGATTGAGTGACGAGCTAGTAACATTTGTAACCTTCACTCAAATCTGTTGGAAAAAACCCCACCAGTGCTCCAGTTCTGAAGAGAGAACTCAATCAAGATTTTGAGATTTTCTAGCTCTTGAGTGAGGCAAATTACTTCAGCTTCTTTACACTTCTGTTATTTTATCCAGAAATGAAGGAAATCTACCTCATAGTTCTACTTCTTATGGCTATTAAGGATGAAATCAGTTAATAATGTGTAATAAAACAAAAACCAAATTCATTGCCACTGAATAATTTCTGGCAACCATAGAGGGCAGACTAAGTTGTGCTGTTCAGTCTGGGAAACCGTTGCACTTACTGGTCTGAGTTCTCCTGGCACAGCATATTAGGGGACAGGTGTATAATAAAAAGGTCAGTGCTTCAAATCTACCAGCTACTCTGCAGGAGAAAAAAAACAGGGCACTGTTCTTTCCCATAAAGATTTGCAGCCCAGGGACCCAATAGAAGGTAGTCATGAGTCAGAATCATCTCAACAGTAGTGGGTTAACCTGTTCCCACTGAGGTAATTCCAACTCACAGGAACTTAATGTGCTGTAGTGATCTGCTCTATAGGGTATTCTTGGCTGTAATGGTTGGTGGTTCAGGGCATCTTAGAAAGAAGGCTTGGGGATCTACTAAAGAGGAGGGCCACTAAAAATTTTATACCGAATTCAGTTTTGCTGTGCCATAGATGTGGTCACAATACTGAAATGGACAATGGATAGTGGTAGCAAAATTTAAGGTTTAGTTCATCAATATGACTCAAATATCCTAGTACAAGGTTGAGATCTGTTATTTCTAGGGTTGCTATGTATGAGTCGTACTTGACTCAATGGCACCTAACAACAACTACTACAAAATTGAAAAAAAAAAAAATTAATGCAAGACAATTAGATATTTTTAAAGTAAAAATGACTCTACCATATCACATTTAAGGAGCCATCTCTCGAGCATCTGAAGCCATAGTTAGACCAACCTTACATCAAGTGATCCACTATCACATATTGGCTAGTTTACCATATTAATCAGTGCTGAGATGGAATATTTCCATCAACAAAGTTCTTGTAGACAGCACTGTTCTGAAAAGCAGGAACAAAATAAAGAAAAATGATAGAGACCTAATTCTATTAGTCTTGACCGTGACAGGGAAATAAAGTATAACACAAAGCAATTTGGCATTATCTTGTAAAACAGAATATTCCTATGCCTTAATATATAATTCGTATATACCTTAATGCAATTGTTGTTAGGTGCCATCGAGTCGAGTTTGACACTATGAACAACAGACTTGAACCCTGTCCTATCCTGTGCCAGCACACACTTACTGCAATCACTGTGTCAATCCATTTCTTTCTGGGTCGTCCATTCTTTTACTGACCCTCCATCTTTCCAAGTATGATGTCCTTTTTCAAGGAATACCATCATGCCAAAAGTATGAGAGATGAAGCGTCACCATCCCTGCCTCCAAGGAGAACTCTGGCTGCACTTTTCCAAGACATAGCTGTATTTTCTTTTGGTAGTTCAAAGGACACTCAATACTCTTCTCCACAACTCAACACCACAATTCAAAGGCACTGATGATTCTTCTGTTAGTTCTTTTAAAAAATTTGGTCTCCAGACCAGCAGTATGCAAATCACCCTGAAATTTATTAGAAATGCAAAACTCTCTACTTACTCAAAAAAAAACCAAAACAAGCTCACATCATAGGTCTGACTCATAGTGACTTCAAGATTTCCAAGGCTGTAATATTTAGAAGCACACTGCCTCCTATTTCCCCCTAGATTTGAACTGCTGACCTTTTAGCCAGCAGCTCAATATATTGTGCCAATATAGTACGACTGAATCGAAACCCAGAGGGTAGGTTTTAGTAGAGTGTTTTCCCAACTCCTCCAGATAGTTCTGATATTAAACTAAAATTTGGGGAGAGCACGTGAAAGATTATTAAACATATATATCATGATATGATATATAGGATATTCATGGCAGCATAGTTACAGACTAACAAAGTCCATAGAAAACTATGTCATAAACTATGGTCTATAATGCACTAATATAAAGTAATGACAATGAATAAACTATATTATTTTAGCAAAAATGGACAGATTGTTAGAAACATATTGAAAGGAAAAAGGAAATCCTAAAAGACTACATACAATTTTCTAAAACCCAAAGCTGACAAAACAAGAAATGATTTTTGTTATAAATATGTATGTAGTAAAATGGATTTAAAAAGAAAAGAATGGCAAAGAGAAACACAAAACTGATGAAAATAGCTGTCTTTATGGGACAGGCACAAGAAATGAAAGAGGATGGATGTACTAAGCTACTCATATTACCCTATTTTATTCCATGGCTTGGGTAACAAGGTAACTGGCATTTATTACATAATTTTGCATGTGATTTTAGATATATCAATATTCTTAATAAGTATCAAGCACATTAAACATGTTTAAAGCCCTCTCAAGATTCTTATTAGTGTTTATGTTTCAATAGAGAAATGTTCAACATTGATTTTCATCCTTCTTTATATAGAGATCCTAAATATTAACAACACGTACCTGAAATGATTACTTTCAAAGCCATGGAAAAAAATCCCATAAAACAATATTTACCAGACCAAGAATGCACAGAATTGTACTGTGTCTCCCAGTTCTTCACAGTCAGAAATAGCTTGGTAAGTGTTGGTTGTTAGACGAATAAGGTATTCAAAAGCTTATGGGACCCTCTAAAGATTAAATCCCTGTGTGTATCAAAACCTTTTCCCAACAGAGTGAAAAAACCTACTGACTGGGGTAATCAGGATAGGTGTGTCAAAGGCAGTGCAATTGGCACAGGATGGACCAGGGCGCTATGAGTCGCAAACAACTCGATGACACATAACAACAACAATACCAATACCATCTCAGACAAGGGTCTCATAATGAAAGTTTACAGAATCCTACAGGGCCTCCACAAGAAAAAGACTAATAATTGGCAAAAGACATCGAAAGACTTTTCATAGTGGAAGATATCTGGATGGCCAACACATACATAAAGCAATGCTCAATATCACTGGCAATAAGATGCAAATCAAAACCACAGTGAGGCACCATTTCACTGCAGCAGCAGTGGCAAAGTTTAATAGGACAGCAAGTAATAAATGAAGAGGATGTAGAGAGATAGGAACATACATTGTTGGTGGGATTGTAAAATGATACTCTGGAAGGCAGTTTATCATTTCCTAAAAAAAGCTGAACACAGAAATTCCATATAACCCAGCTATTCCACTGCCATGAATATACCCTAAAAAAGTAAAACTGAGACACAAAGACTGTACACCAATGTTCATAGCAGCATTATTCACCAATGTAAAAACGTGGAAACAGCCCAAGTGTCCAACCACAATCGAATGGATACAGAAATTGTGGTACATTCACATGATAGGCATCACTCAGGAGCAACACTTTAATTACTACATAAATTTGGAGAAGACCCAAATTATGTGTCATGCATTATGTTGAGTGAACTCAGTTTCATTAGGACAAATACTGTTTAAGACCATTGTTGTAGAAATAAAAAGATGGCTAGTAAAATATGTATGAGGACCCAAGGGGGGATTAGGAACAGAGTGGTGAGGATGGGCAGGGTGGGAAAATCATAGGGCTGTACAATTTGGTGGGTGGAGGGAGAGGAGGGTAAAGGAAATGGGAAAGATCCAGCAGGGATCTGGAAAGACAGGGTAATAGTGGGCATAAAGTTGAGTAATTTTGTAAAATATAATGAATGTGAATGATTGTATGAAACACATGAAGGATAGAATGAAATAATGTAAATGAACTTTGTAAGCAAACCAATATAAAATAATTTTTTTTTTTAAAAAAGCTCATCACTTATACAGCTTACCATTGACATTCTGCCAAAAGAGCAAATTACGTTCCAGGTATACAGAAATGTTGTAAGTGTTGCTGAGAAAACACTCACTAGATTCGGATGTCTCAGACCTCACTTTGGTTTCCTTAACACCACCTCTTACAGTCCTCTTATATCACTTTGGTTGCTACGACTTGAACGTTGACTTGATGGCATCTAACTAGTTATGTTAAAGACAATGGGAATTCTGAGGCTTATGAAGAAATAATGAGGTACAAATATATTGGGTTTTTCTTTCTTTTTTTTTTTTTACTGTAGCAGTGTAAACTTATTTAAAAATTAAGACTTCCAATTTTTAGAGCTCTTGGTTCGAATCCACCTGCTGCTCCATGGGAGAAAACTGGAAAATCTCCATATGTGCAATTTACAGTCTCTGAAAATATGCTATGGGCTGCTTTTGACTCAACAGTACTCAATGAATTTTTAGAATGTTTCTGATTATGCACCTCACTAGGAAAACATTTCTAGGCATGTATTCAAGTATATATATAAGTAGAATATTTTCACTGTAAGGAAGGAGGACATGTTTTCCTGAGTAATATGAAGATGGTTACTAACTTAAACTATGTGCCTGTCAATAAAAATTTCCCCAATATTTATCATTACATTTAGAGAAGGAGTTCTGCATAGTACAAGACTGACTTTCCACATGTTCTTAAATCTGAAGCTGCTTGCCTTCAAGTGCTGAGAAATACGTTTCTTTTGCTAACTG